ACACACACACACACACACACACACACAGACACAGACACACACACAGACACACACACACAGACACACACACACACAGTGCCTACATCACCTCCGTCCGACCTGATGGGGATGCTGTTCTGTCTTGACATGACGGCGCACACCGCCCACACGAAATCATCATACACAAACGACGACGGTGTCAGCGCAGCGCCACTCGTGCTGTTGCTGCCGGTTGCCTCGACGCTGTTGCTGCTGGTTGCCTCAACGCTGGTGCTGCTGGCGTTCTTCGTGCCTTTCTTGCCACCCTTCTTGCCGTTGTTCTTCTTCTTGTTCTTGGCAGCAGTGGTCTGTGTGTCTTGCTTGGCCGGGCGCAGAGCACCCTCCTGCGCAGAGAAGGTGGGGATGGCGGCGAGTTGGCAATGGTTGGCAATGGTTGGCAGCAGCGAGAGAATGAGTGCTCGACTAACTCATGCAAGTACGCACACACACACACACACACAACACAACACAACACACAGCACACAACCCAGCACAACCCAGCACACACACACACACACACACACAATACAGCACAACCCAGCACAACCCAGCACAACACAACACAACACAACACAACACACCACAACACACAGCACATCACACACAATACAACACAACACAACACAACACACCACAACACCACAACACAACACAGCACAACACACACCACAATGCGTGTGTAGAGGTAGCAGTATTGGCGGGCGACGTTGCGGTAGAGGCGCAAAACGCGAGCAAAGAGCGGCAGTCCGCGCAGGCGAGCAATATCGCGCTCGCTCCACGTCATCGGCAGCGGAAAAGACGACGGCAGCGTCGCAATGTACGCCCGGTACGGCGACGCACTATGTGTGTGTGTGTGTGTGTATGTGTGTGTGTGCGTGTGTGCGATGTCAATCCTGAGCAGTCAGTGAACAAGGCTGTCGTTTGACGGTGTCACGAACACCAGCAGCCACACCCAAGCCACCGCTCTCCCTCCCCCCCGTCTCCCTCTCACACTCAAGATACGCACGGGTCATTGAGCTCGGCAAGGAGGTGGACGGCCAGCGCCAGATTTGGCATTGCTGACAGCATCTAAGAATAGGTCACGATGAATGGCGGTGAACAGGAATAGAGCAAGCCGCAGTGACGTGGCAGCGACGTGTTAGATGCGTTGCCACGTGCAGTGGCGGTGTCACGGGAGCGGGGTGTGCCACGAATACAGTTGGAGGGAAAGAAATTGTCCACGTGGAGGTGTGCACGAACGCGGCATACACAATACACAACACACACGCACACACGCACACACAACACAACACAACACAACACACAACACACACACAACACAATACACGCATACCGGGTCGGAGGTGACGAAGCTGCCAATTTTGCTGCAGGATGCTGCTGTCACCTCTGACAGCATGCATCTGCAAGTCGACAGCACGTGGTCAGATGTGGGAACGTGCACGGTGAACGGACCCAGTGCACTCGACACACACACACACACACACACACACACACATACACATATGTTCACTGACTTTGAAGGGATCTGCAGCAGCGTCTCGCCCACTTCCGTGGTCTCCGTCGCAAAGAGGCCGTTGCCCATCCCTGCGCCACTCACGCCAACTTCAACCTATGGCAGTGGCAACAGTACACGCTTGAGTGCTGGAAGCACACGCACACGTTCGACAATGTTCACATGGGCTACACTGCAGCGTGGATGTGTCAATGCCCGCAATCACACACTCCATCACACACACACACACTCACCCGCACACACACACACACTCAATCACACACACTCACTCACTCAATCACACACACTCACTCACTCACCACCCCCCCCCCCCCACACACACACACACACACCTTTTGGATGATCGCCCCCTCAGCTCGCAGCCACGCCTCGAGGGTGGTAAAGTCCGATGTGCCTGCTGCATCTCGGGCGATGCCAGTGCCCTGCTTCCGCCTCAGCCGCTGAACCAGTTCCCTGACCTTCAGGTGGTCCTCCCACAGCTCGTCATCGCTCGCATTCGGCTCCAAAGGCTCGCGAACCACTAACACAACAGTCAACGTGGGTGAGGCCTTGAGTCATGCATGCAAGGTCCTGAACGAAGATGCATGCATGACACATCTGCGTTTGACGGCAAGCACGCGCAAGCTTTTTCAAACGCCATCAACGAATGAAAAGAAGAGAAAACTCAAACGAAGGCACGCGAACAAGCGATCCAAGCAGACAAACAACAAGCCTACAGCGGTAACGGCAGCCACCGCGGCACCATCGTCGACATCGACATCACTCAACATCGCCATCATCACGCACCACACGCACCAACCTGCGTACAGTTGCGCGATGGCAGCCATGTTGTGTCTTTTTGTGTGTCACTTGTCGACGCAAAAATAACCACTGCAATTTGCAACGCGCAGCCACTGCAATTGGCAAAAAGACAGCAAGCAGCACCGCAAAGATAAGAAGCAAGCAGGAAGCCTGCTCTCCTGCACGATGGTGCTTGTGTTGGTGCTGGTGTTTGCGGTGGTGGGTGTGCTGGTGCACGAATCGGCAGTGGCACAGGATGAGGGCAAGGTCATCATCGACACCCAGGTGAGATGACAAAAGGATGGTGGACTTGTGAAGCGTACACGTAGGAGCAGAGGGGCGTGCTACTGTTTTATTTAGTGAGTGTGTGCGCATCGAGAAAAGCACACAATATCAAAACGTCAAACAACGAGTACACACACACACACACACACACACACACACACACACACACACACACACACACACACACACACACACACACACACACACACACACACACACACACACACACACACACACACACACAAACAAACTCACTCACTCACACACACGCACACACAAAAACACTCACTCACTCACTCACTCACACTCACTCACACACAAAAACACACACACATTCACAACTCCCCCCCCCCAAACTTCTCCTTCCTGCAGCAACTGCCGTCCTGCTCAGACCTGAGCGCCATGGCAGGCGACATGGTTGGTCTTCTTGAGGCCCATGGTGCAGGTGGCACGTATCTCGATTCCATCGCGCACACCAAATTCTCGCATGACACGCCCAACGCCGGCCCCCTCGACCTGGCCCCACTTCAGCGTGTGCTGAACGCAATGGGGTGCCAGCAGACCCAGTCCCTTGCCGCAGCACAAGCTGTTGTAAGCGGCAGCGCTGTTGCCGGGGCACCGCGGCGGAACCGGCGAGAGGTGGCCGACATCCACAGCCAGTGCGTGTACACCACTGGCCACGAGCTACGTTGCGAGGGCCTGGTGCCCGCAACCGGACTCACCATCACCTTCCAAGGGAGAGGCACCCTGCCCTCAGACACGCAGCGGCCCGTGCCCGTCATGGACGCCTCCGTCTCCGTGCAGCGCCTGACCTTGACCGGCGAACTGGACCACAACCGCCTGCGGTCGCTGCTGTTTGTGGGCAACTGGACGAGCGTCGAGACCCTGTCGCTCAGCGGCCTGCAGTTTGTGGACTTCTCGCTGGCCATGCTCAACGGGTTTGCTGCGCTGCGCACGCTGCAGATCAGCGACACCCTGCACCTGCAACTCGACGCCCGCGACTTTGCGCTCGCCCCGCAGCTGCTGCGGCTGGAGCTCGCAGCAAACGGCATTACAGACCTGCGCCCGGACGTGTTTGCTGGCCTGAGCGCGCTCTCCGTGCTGAATCTCGCCAACAACCGCCTCACCGCCGTCCCGTCAGACGCGCTGCGGCCACTGCGCAGCCTCACCCAGCTGCACCTGAACGACAACCCCATCGTCAGCGTTGATCCGGGCGCGTTCAGGGCCCTCACCGCGCTCACCTTCCTGTCGCTCTGGAGCGCTGACATCTCGTCCATAGCGAACGGCACATTTCAAGGGCTGGCTCGCCTCTCAACCCTCCGCCTCAGCAACAACCCGCTGCGAACCGTGGAGGCAGGGGCATTCCAGCCCCTCACCATGCTGTACTCCCTGCACATTTCCACCACTGAACTCACGACACTGCCATCGGGCCTGTTTGTCACCACCACCCGCCTCAGCTGGCTGGACCTGCGGTCCAATAGGCTCCAATCGCTCCCTCCAGACGCGTTTCAGGGCCTCCAGTCCCTCACCCTGCTGTTTCTCTCCAGCAACCGCCTCACCGCCCTCCCAGCTGGCCTCTTTGCTGGCCTGCACCAGCTCTCCCACCTCGAGTTTTCAAGTAACCGTGTGGGGCAGCTGCACTCACGCCTGTTCTCGCCGCTGTCCAAGCTGCAGACGCTTCGTGTGAGCCGAAACGGAATCACGCAGCTCCCGCGCGACGTGTTTGCGCCGTGCACTGCGCTCACCGCCCTGCACCTGGACTTCAACCCCATTCGCGCACTCCCAGACGGCGTGTTTGAGCACCTGACACAGCTGCAGCGGCTGTGGTTCCAGTTTGGTGGCCTCACATCCGTGGCACCGGAGACCCTACAAGGGCTTGTCAACCTGCAGGAGCTCTTGTTGAGTGGCCACCAGCTCACCACATTTGAGGCAACGCTGCCGTCGTTGGTTGACCTCAACCTCAACTACAACCCGCTGCAACGCCTGCCGGATGTCTCTAGCATGCCAGCACTGGAGGACCTGTACCTCACGCGCCACCACATCACGCACATGGACCTGACGCATGTGCTCTCGCTCCGGAACATCACGGCCCTGGAAGCAGAGGCAGCGCAAGGCGTGGAATGCACAGCCACACTACAGCCGACGCAGGTCATACAGCGACAGCAGCAGCAGCAGCAGCGACAGAACGAAGACCGCGTGGTGCTGCCGTTGCTGGGGCTTGTTCTCTTGAACGTTGACGCGGGCGATGTGCTCAAGTTTCTGGTTGCGCATGCAGATGTCGAGTTGGCAACACTCGAGGTGGGCTGGCCAGGCCTCACCCAGGACACCGTCACAGAGCAGGACCTGTGCTCGCTGCTGGCAGACAACGTGGCGCGCTTCGTCCTCAGCAATACGGGGTACACACACCTGACGCTGTGCCGCGACAAGATCATCGATGCAGTGGCGTTTGTGGACAACAAGCAGCTGGCGACGGTGACAGCACACAACAGCCTGGCCCAGCTCAACCTTGCCGGCTGCGAACAGCTCACGCGCTTGGACGCGCAGCCAACGCCCATTCTCGACATCAGCCGAACACGCCTGCAGCCCGACAGCATGTTTTGCAGCACGCTTGGCCACCGGGCGTTTGTGGCGCAGGGGATGCCTACAGGCTGGCGCGAGCACGCGCAACTCGACGCCATGCTTGCCAAGTGCCTCGCCACGGTGGACATCCTGGACTTGGCGGAGAACACGTGGCTGGACCAGCCGCAGCGGGTGAACGAGGTGGCGGCACCCATCCAGCTCCTCAACAACAGATTGCGCAATGAGCGCGATCACCCGCCAGCCCTTGAACTTCACGGCACGCGCATCCAGTGCCCGCTGGGCGTCAACCACCGCGGGTTCGTTTTCTTCGGCAACGTGCGCCACGACGCGTACTCGCTCCACTTCTCCCTCAACTGCACGTGCGCGCTCGGCTTCAAGTTGTCGGCAGGCCGCTGCGTTCGGGACGTGCAGAACGTGGCGGAGATTGCCGCACCTTCCGTGATTGGCGGGCTGTTGTTTGGCCTGCTCATGGCGTGGCTGTCACGCCGCTACCGTGGCCTCACCAAGCGCATCGGCCTGCAGGAGCAGCTGCTGGTGGAGCGAGACGAAGAAGTGATGGCGCTGAAGCAGGCGTGGGAGGTTGAATATGGGGAGTTGAGGATGATCAAGCGTGTGGCTGCAGGTGCCTTTGGCGTGGTGTTCAAGGCAGAATGGGACACGGTGATGGTGGCAGTCAAAGTGCTGCAGCAAGCTGTCATGGCGTTTGACGAGAGCACGGTGTTGGAGTTTAAGAAGGAAGTGGAGTTCTTGCAGAAGACACGGCACCCGAATGTGGTGCGCTTCTTTGGCGCGGGCACAGACCCCAACGGCAGCCCGTTCCTTGTGCTGGAGTTTGTGGCGATGGGATCACTCAAGGACCTGCTGCAGAAGGACATGGAGGAGGTGTTGATGGGGGTGGAGCAGGGCGCTAATGGCGGTACAGATGCAAGCGTGATTGCAGAGGATTTCGGTGAGGAGTTGACGTTGGTGAGCACAGGACGCGACAAACGAGATGAGACGACGACAGCGTGGGACTTGAAGCTACGACTGCTGCGCGATGTTGCCAGTGGCATGGCTTTTATCCACAGCCTCGACCAGATGCACCGGTGTGTGTGTGTGTGTGTGTGTGTGTGTGTGTGTGTGTGTGTGTGTGTGTGTGTGTGTGTGTGTGTGTGTGTGTGTGCGTGTGTGTGTGTGTGTGTGTGTGTAAGGGAGCGTGTGAGTGCGTGCATGCGTGTGTGTGTGTGTGTTTGGATTACGGACTTGCGCATCCTTCGCTCCTCACCAAACACACTCACACACTTCCTGCAGCCACCCCCGAGTGGTTTCAGTCGCTGACGCACAAGTGCATGGCGCAAGACCCGCGTGAGCGGCCGTCCTTTGGCGAACTCAAAGACCACCATCTTGTTTGATTGTGTGTGTGTGTGTGTGTGTGCATTCGCGTGCACCTTTCGTCTCCTGCCCCAGTTGTTGTTTGTTTCCGCCGCCTTCATGATACCATCCATACCCGCGGTGCATCGTTCTGTTTCTTTGGCTGCTTTCTGGTTTTGTTACCGTTTTCTGTTGCAGAAGGCACATGCCATCAATAGCGAATAAAATGAAGGCCGCTGCGCCCAAACCAGCACATGAAGAAAGGGTAAGGAGCAGGAGCAAACACGTGAACACGTGAACACGCGAGCGTTTGAATCAGAAAGCCGCTCCAAACGAGGAATGAGCAAGGAGGCGCAACACTACGCGCATGAAGAAGCGCGCACACTTGCAAAGTGCACACGTACACGCACATGCACACATCTTCCCCCCCCCCCACATACATACCCCCACACACATACTTCCACCACCACCCACCACACACACACACACACACACACACACACACACACACACACACACACACACACACACACACACACACACACACATCCGTCAGCAGCCCGGGTCGATGATGAGGACGTCAGTAGAGATGAGCCCGTTGCCTGCAAGCACGCCATCATGCCATTTGATGCTGCCGGCCGATGCAGGGAGCGAGGTGGTGTCGGAGGTGTTGGCTGTCGGGTGGACGATGAGGACAGATTCCGCGGACAAAGGGATGCCAAAGATGCGACCGTCTGGCGCCAACACGCCTCCAAGCCACTTGAAGTCGTTGCCTGGGAGGCCGGTGATGGTCGTTTTATCGGCTGTGTTGGTGGCGGGGTTGATGACAAGAACGGTCGTCTCGCTTGCCGGGATGCCGTAGATGAGGCCGTTGCCTGCAAGCACGGTGCCGTACCACTTGCTGAAGCCTGTCAATCCGGCAATTGACGTGGTGTCGGCCGTGTTGGTGGCCGGGTCGATGATGAGGACAGCCTCCGAGTTGTGTGGGACGCTGTAGATGAGGTTGTTGTCTGCCAGCACGCCGCCGTACCAATTGCAGCAGGAATCCCCCGGTGGCGGGATGGACGTGGTGTCTGTCGTGTTGTTGGCCGGGTCGACGATGAGGACAGGCGACACCCCCCAGGGAATGCCGTAGATGAGCCCATTGCTCGCCACAACGCCACTTCTCCACTTGCCGCCCCCTTCTCCAGAGGACAACCCGCCAAGGGTGCTTGTGTCCACGGTGTTGGCGCGTGGGTCGATGATGAGCACGGAGGTGGCGCTTTCGGGAAACCCGTAGATGAGGCCGTTGTCCGCAAGCACGCCACCGGCCCACTTGCTACCTGCCTCAGGCAGGCCCGAGATGGATGTTGTGTCGGCGGTGTTGGTGGCGGGGTCGATGATGAGCACCGAGCCAGAGACATAGGGGATGCCGTAGATGAGGCCGTTGCTGGCCAGAACACCGCCAATCCAGTCGCTTCTTGCGGTGCCGACGCCTGCGATTGTTGTGGCGTCAGCGCGAGGCGGTACCCCGATGGCGCACAGGCGCGAGTTGAGGATGTCGTTTCTCGCCTCCTGCTCAGCAAGCGCCCTTGCCTGTGCCGAAAATGAGGCTCGGAGCGTTGCCAGCTCCTCCACCACGTCCACGCCGTTCACGAACACTGTTTGAAGTGCAGGCTCGCTGGTGTTGATGTGCAGCGCGCCGTGGTCGTCCTCCATCATCACCACCTCGCCGTGCAGTCGCGGGACGGTGAGTGTGAGCGTGAGGAATGTTAGAAGGAGGGTGGTGGTGGGGAGGTTTGGAGGACGCGGTGTCATGTTGTGCGTGTGGTTATGTGTGTGTGTGTGTGTGTGTGTGTGTGTGTGTGTGTGTGTGTGTGTGTGTGTGTGTGTGTGTGTGTGTGTGTGTGTGTGTGTGTGTGTGTGTGTGTGTGTGTGTGTGTGTGTGTGTGTGTGTGTGTGTGTGTGTGTGTGTGTGTGTGTGTGTGTGTGTGTGTGTGTGTGTGTGTGTGCGTTCGTTGGTAGTTGTCCTTGTGTGGTTGGTCGTGGAGCATTTGTGAATGATTTGTTTCAACTTTCTACAATCATCAACCCACTTCGAGCACGACTTCTTCTTTGATTTGAGCCATCACCGAACATGCAACAAGCGTTTGGAGGGACCAGGACCGTTGTTAGGTTGTTCCATGTTATAGCGGTTGAAACCAAGGCAGGGAAAGGCAACAAGTGAGAGGCTGTGCAAGAAGGGCGGTGTAGAAACGAGATGCAAAGAGGGGGCTCCTACAAGCGCAAAACCGCAGCAGCATGGTGGAAAGAACCCAGCGAAACGAGGGAGCTTAAGGGTCAGGGAATCGTACCAGGTGCCAAGATCACGTGGATTGCATGTATCGGAGGAATTAACGGCAGAGGTTGGGAACACGTGCAGTGCGCTTACGCTACACACACACACACACACACACACACACACACACACACACACACCACACACACACACACACACACACAAAGACGCACACACACACACACACACAAAGACGCGCACACACACACAAAGACGCACACACACACACACGCACGCACACACACACACACACACACACAACAACGCGCACACACACACACACACACACACAAAGACGCACACACACACACACACACACACACACGCACACATACACACACGTACAAACACACACACACACACGCACACACATCCATCAGCAGCCCGGGTCGATGATGAGGACGTGCTCGTGGTTGAAGGGAATGGCGTAGATGAGGCCGTTGTCTGCAAGCACGCCGTCAAACCACTTGCTGCTGCCCTCTGTCACGGGAAGCGACGTGATGTCGACCGTGTTCGTGGCCGGGTCGATGATGAGCACGGATGAGGCAGAGTGTGGAAAGCCGATGATGCGGCCGTCCGCCACCCGTGCGCCGCCCTGCCACTTGAAGCTGTTGTCGGGGAGGTCGGTGATGGAGGTGGTGTCGGCAGCGTTGGTGGCTGGGTCGATGATGAGCACAAACGTCTCCACGTACGGGATGCAATAAATGAGCCCGTTGCTGGCGAGCACGGCGCCGCGCCAGCCACCGCCACGGCTGGCCAAGCCAACAAGGCTGGTGGTGTCTGTCGTGTTTGTGGCCGGGTCGATGATGAGCACGGCCTGCGCGTTGCTTGGCATGCAGTAGATGCGTCCGTTGCGCGCCTGCACACCGCCATACCACTTGAACGGGTCTGTTCCAACGCTGGCTATGGCCGTGGTGTCGGTGGCGTTGGTCACTGGGTCAACGATGAGGACCGAGGAGGCGGACCACGGAATGCCATAGATGAGCCCGTTGTCAGCGACAATACCGCTGATCCACTTGACCGATTCCGATGGCAGGTTCCCAAGCGTCGTTGTGTCGGTGGCGTTTGTGCTGGGGTCGATGAGGAGGACAGCCTGCGAGCTTGTTGGGAAGCCAAACACGAGGTCGTTTGCTTGCACTGCCCCCGCCCAGTGCTCACCCTCTGGGATGGTGATGGTCGTCGTGTCCACCGCCTTTGTCACTGGGTCGATGATGAGCACGAAAGCGGAGTTGTAGGGGATGCCGTAGATGAGGCCGTTGCTGGCCAGCACGCCACCAATCCAGTCTTCGCCTCCGGTGCCGACGCCAGTCAGTGTTGTGGAGTCTGCCGATGGTGGAAAGCGGCGACACAGGGCAGCCCGATTCTGCCGATCCCTCTGCTGCAGCTCCTCGTTCACGCGCCGCTGCACTGCCAGCATGCTCTCCTGTTCCTGAATCGCCCCAAACAGCTTGCCCACGTCCACGCCGTTCACGAACACGCGGTCGTTCACTGGATTGCTCGTGTTGATGTGCAGCGCGCCGTGGTCGTCCTCCATCATCACCACCTCGCCGTGCAGTCGCGGGACGGTGAGTGTGAGCGTGAGGAATGTTAGAAGGAGGGTGAGGGTGGGGAGGTTTGGAGGACGCGGTGTCATGTTGTGCGTGTGGTTGTGTGTGTGTGTGTGTGTGTGTGTGTGTGTGTGTGTGTGTGTGTGTGTGTGTGTGTGTGTGTGTGTGTGTGTGTGTGTGTGTGTGTGTGTGTGTGTGTGTGTGTGTGTGTGTGTGTGTGTGTGTGTGTGTGTGTGTGTGTGTGTGTGTGTGTGTGTGTGTGTGTGTGCGTGTGTGTCTGCTCTCACTCGGCCAACAGTGGTTGTTGGCGTTTCAGGAAGAATATCCACAAATTTCAGCACAACGACGCCAACCATGAACAACACGTTTAGCAGGAGGGTGGTGGTGGTGTGGTTGGTGGTGACGGCGTTGTTGACGGTGAGCGACCATCACCACCGTTGGCATCGATGCATGGGCGAGGTGGTGTTGGCAGAGGATGACGCAGGCGCGTTCCACGTCAACACGAGTGACCCAACAACGCAGCCCGTGCTGGTGAACGGGTTGAACATGAACAGGCTGTTCGAGACAGTTGCGGCGCACCAGAGCACGTTGCAGGAGCACGGAGCGGTGGCGCAGGCGCAGCAGCGCGTGATTGATGCGCAGGAGCGCACCATTCGCTTACAGCAGGCAAGGGTCGATGCCCTGAGAGCGGAGGTGTGCCGTGCGAGCGTGCGGCAGGACTTTGGGCAGTTTGGGGTCGCGGGGAACAAGTGGGTTGGCGGCGTGCTGGCGCGCAACGGCCTGATCTACGCTGCGCCGTACAACGCTGACGCCGTCCTCATCATCGACCCCAGCACCACCACGGCAGACACAACCACGATCCACGAGATTGGCGGAGGCATACACAAGTGGGCTGGTGCTGTGCTGGCACATAATGGACTCGTGTACATGTTTCCGGCATCGAGGGCAGAGGTGCTTGTGCTCAACCCGGAGACAAACGCAACCGACACCACGACGCTGCATTCGCTGGGGTCGAGCCAGTACAAGTGGTTCAGCGGCATGGTTGCGGACAACGGGCTCGTCTTTGGCGTGCCTTATTCTGCCACATCCGTGCTCATCATCGACCCCACCACCAACGCCACCGACATCAGCACCTTGTCTGGTCTTCCCACGGACGGCCAGAAGTGGTACAACGCCGTTCAGGCGCCCAACGGCCTTGTCTATTGCGTTCCATCCACGGCGTCGTTTGTCCTCATCATTGACCCTGTTTCTCTCCGAATGGACACCACGACCATACAAGGGCTTGGGGCGGGGCTCTACAAATGGCTCGGCGGCGTGCTTGCAGGCAACGGCCGCATCTACGCCATTCCTGCGCGGAACGCCACCGTGCTTGTCATAGATCCGGCCACCAACACCACGGACGCGCTTGTCGTTGCTGAGCAGACCACCTCGGCCAAGGGGATCGGTGCTGTGCTTGCCCCCAACGGCAACATCATCGGAATTCCACACGACGCCGCGTCCGCCCTCATCTTTGACCCGCGCACCAACACCACGGACACGACCTCCATCAGCGCCCTTGCTGGAACATCCAGGTGGTTTGGCGGTGTGCTTGCAGGCAACGGTCTCATCTACGGCATCCCAAGCTTTGCAGACCACATACTCGTCATCGACCCAGGGTGTTGAAGGGGGGTGGGGGGATGAATGTGTGTGTGGGTCTGGGTCTGGGTGTGGGTCTGGGTGTGTTTGCTTTGTGGGTGTGGGTGTGTGTGGGTGTGTTTGCTTTGTGGGTGTGCGTGTGTGTGGTGTGTGTGGTGTGTGTGGTGTGTGTGGTGTGTGTGGTG